CATTAGTTGTAAATGAAATATCTAGAGGTAGAAGGTTAAGAAAATCAAAGAGAAAAGAATGAGAACATAGCTTGATTGATGTAGAAATGAAGGAACAATGAAGTCTAAGACAATTGATCAACATTAGATCATAATTGCAATGTTTTAAGTGTTAATAGTTGAGATTATGAGTTAATTGAAGCTAGACCATCGTGGAAAACTTAGAAGCACTGGATGACCGTTTCGTCCTAGTGTAGGAATCTTCAGCCGTGTGCATCCACAATCCCGCCTCACGAGATTCGAACTCAGAACCTATTAGTCTCGTATATGAGCACTTAACCTTCAAATCACTGAACTTACTGGTATCCAACGATATGAATGTTTAAATTCAATTAATCCACGAACTTTGTGCGACACACTCACTATCGTCCTCAACTAGTTACTATCTCACAACAAACCTGGTTGAACTTCACTGGTCAATGCTTTTAAGAAATGATGAATACTGAAGAATAGATATCAACCAATCACTGATTAGTAAACACCGTTATGTTTGTTGATTCATTTAGTATTGATGAAATTCTGTTAATTAAATTGAATAATAATAATAATAATAATAATAATAATAATATCCTTGTCAACTACAAATTACAATATGCATTACTCATATGGAGTTCATTCACACGAGAATTTAGTCAGGTATAACTAATGGTCATAAATAATGATGAGATAGGGGTTGTGGAGATTATTAAGTTTTTGATTGAGATCATGAACCGATTGATGTTAGACCACCACCTTTGGAAACCTGGAAGCACTGAACGGCCGTTCCGTCCTATTGTGGGACTCAGCACTGCGCACCTACGATTCCACTCGAGGGATTCAAACACAGGGCCTTCGGTCTCGCGCGCGAACGCTTAACCTACTGGATCATTGAGTCGGCATCCAATGGTGATAGTGTCTAACATCAACCAATCCACGAAATTGCGCGACCAACTTCCACTGTACTGAGGTAGATACTTGTCTCAACCCGACATGGATTAGCTCCACTGGTCACGGCCTCACACTAGAACTCCGAGAATTCCCTCACGAAGCTATTCGCTAGCGAGCACATGTTGAGATAATCATATAGAATTAATTGAATTTAGAAATATGAATAATTTTGATTATGATCATATGGTTTAAACGTAAAATAATCATCATTCTTGATCCGGTTACCAATGGGATTAAGGTTAAGAAGTGTTGAAGTGTGTAAAAATGTAGATGGAAATTCTTCTCCAGAATCATGCACCAAAAATGTTTAATAGTTACTACATTGTAAAATCAAATGGCTATCAGGACTCAGTAGCTAGATGGATAACTTAATGGTGTTTGAAGCGAATGATATTGAGTTCGAGTCTTAGAGTGAACATCAACAAGTCTGAGATGTAGGTATATTCAACTGACGAGTTCCAAATGGGACAAAACGTGCGTTCTGGATTCCATACAATGAACTACTGAGCAGTGTACTCATCATTTAACAGGTAGATAAATATTTTATTCGTGTTACAAGAAGGTGATATGAATTAGAAAAAGATGAAATTTAAACAAAATCAACTAGCATTTAACTATGCTAGAAATTGTGAAGGAAGTTTTGAGGTTTCATTCGATAGATTTCATATATTTCATATACATACAACTATTTTTGCTACAAGCAAAGATGGATAGTGGATGACAATGGAATTCAAAACACGCTCCACTTCGTCTTATTCAGGACTCGTCAACCTGATGTACCTGCATTAGTGAATTGATGTTCACTCTGCGATTCGAACCCAGTATCGTTCACTTCAAACAATATAGCACTTTCCGTTTAACTAGCCACTATCCATCTATGCTTATAATACTTGTAACTTAAGACAATATTGAGACAGTTCGCACAGGATACACAGATGTCAATAAGAGACAGATGATCAATTACAATCCTAAAGAGATCCATGGGAAGATACCAGGAAACAACATCAATTGAAAGATCCTTAATGTTCTTTTTTGAAAGAATAGATCTAACTTATGAATTTGTTTTTATTACAGTTTCATTTGGTGTTCAATTTATTATGGTAATGTAGCAAATCAATTATTGACCAAACTGAATGAATTACGCGCTAAAGATTTCTATACTTCTGATTCAGTATCTAATAATAATGAATTAGAGATACATCATGTAGTTTGGCTTAAAATCCCTTTTCCAACCAGAATAGAAAACATTGACGACAGGAGTGAAACAGTGAATGATGCAAATGAGAAATTACAATCGCAAACTGTTCATGATGATATAAATATGATCAATTTACTATCAATGTTATATCATATAGTTTTACCAATATCCTATGAATATGAACCAGATCTAATTTATCTATTGAATGGATCTAATAAAATGAAAAATGTAAGTTCTGATTATAAATAATTCTAATAGTTAAGATTATGAGTCATTTGAAGGTGGATGTCCGTTTCATTCTATTGTGAGACTTCACAGCAGTGCGCATTCATGATCTCACCTCGCGTGGTTCGAACCCAGGATCTATCGGTCTCGTGCGCGAACGGGCATCCGGTGAAGCAGGATCGTGGATGCGCACTACTGAGGTGTTCAACAATGGGAAGAAACGGCGATTTAGTGCTTCCAAGTTTTTAATGATGGTCTACCTTTAATTGACTCATGATATCAACAACTAAAACTACTATACTATCCAAATGAGCCCCTTCTGATTATAAATAATTCGTTTAAGATTGAAAAAAAAATTACGTCGTAGGTTACAAAGTTACAAGACTTATTGTCAATGAGGATTTTTATGCTGATTTTGTCCTTAAATAATGATTAATAGATGAATGGTTTGACTTAGTTAGTTAGGTGTCAGACTTGTAAATTAAAAGTAGTTTATTTGAATAAAACCTGTAGAAAGATGATGATATGTAAGCTTGATATCATTCATAGTGAATTAAAGTATCCTGACTATAGTTTGGTTTAAATTATATTTTTGGATTAGAGTATTTTTTTAAGGAATTGAGTCGCTAACCCTATGCCTAACCCTGCTTTTTTATCCGGGCTTGGGACCAGCATTGGCCCCAGAGGAGCTCCAAGCAGAGCATCACTGATGAACACGGTGGATCTGATACATATGTTAAGGCGCGAATCGGCAAAGCAGGAGCAACATATCTACAACTGAAGAACAGTTAAAACTCAAAACAACTGTCAAACAACACCAAAGTTAGAATTTTCAATAAAAATTTCAAGACAGTTCTACTGCATGGGGTGGAAACATGGAGAACTACGAAAGCCATCATTCACAACATACAAGTGTTCGTTGACAGTTATCTATGCAAAATATTTCGGATACGTTGACCAGACACTACACTATCAGCAACAACCTATTATGGGAGAGAACAAACCACATTCCAGTGGAAGAAGAAATCAGGAAGAGGTGCTGGAAGTGGATAGGACACACATCGAGGAATGCACACAACTGCGTTACAAGGCAAGTTCTCATCACTTGTAATCCTCAAGGCCAGAGGAGAAGAGGCAAACCAAAGAACACATTCCACCGAGAAATGGAGACAGATATGAGAAGAATGAACAATAATTGGATAGATGTAGAAAGGATGGCTGTGAACAGAATGGGTTGGAGAATGCTGGTCGGCGGTCTATGCTCGATTGGGAGTAACAGGTGTAAGTAAGTAAGTAAGATTATAGCCTGGAACGGGTTACATGCCTCAATCCTCTGTCGCTTAAAGTACTATTTGAGTCTTCGTGATAACCTGTATAGTGAGTATAACAGAGTTAAATCATATAGGAATAGAGGAAATTACTCAGTAGTGACATTACAGAATGATTGAAAAACATTACGAATTGGTTGAAAGTTGTAAATATAAACCATAAGATACAAGGTCATACATCTGAAGGGTAAGCATCGGCTACAAAACCTAGAAGTCTTGGGTTCATTACCTGGTTAGTTCAAATCACTGGCACAAATAATGTGTCTCATACTGGGACTAAATAGGCATACAATGATTGTCTATTTAAGGTCTATCCATGATGTAAACTAGAAAAAAAATCAATCATTTCCACATCCCTCCCCCACAGTAACAATCTTCTTCTTCTTCTTTCCATAGGAATTTGTCACATCTGAAAGCTTAGCTCGAATAATTTATTTAATCAATGGATTAGGTATACCAATATTGATTAATGGATCATCCATAAATGAATTATCTTCAAATTATTTAATACAAAGTTTACAAGGAAAGCCAATATCGATTGGATTCAATGAGTTAACACCAACTTCACCATCGTCAAAGTAAGAAAATAATAAGAATCATCTATTGAATAGTTCAAAGGATATTTCACTGGTTGAAATCATGAGTCAATTGAAGCTAAACCACCATGGAAAACCTGAAAGCACTGGACGGCCGTTTCGTCCTAGTATGAGACTCTTCAGCAGTGCACATCCATGGTCCCACCCCCCGCGAGATTCGAACCCTGGACCTACCAGTCTCGCGCCAGGCGCTTAACCAACTATCTCACAACAGACCTGGTTGAAATCCACTGGTAACGGAGTCCCACACTAGGACGAAATGGCCGTTCAGGGCTTCCAGGTTTTCCATGGTGGTCTAGCTTCAACTGACTCATGATTTCAACCGGTGAAATTTCTAAAAAGCTCCATAAAACCCATTCTGACAAAGGATATTTATTTAGGAAGATGTTGTGGAGAATTTTTGAATTTATTGGTAGCTGTTCTTTATGATCTGACATTAGTCAGGGATACCACCTAAAAAACAGGGAATATTATAAATGTGGAAATGTGAATCTTACTTGGATTAGCGTTTTTTTAGCGAGTTAGTTTTTTACGGGATGGGGTTGCGAACCCCATGTCCAACCCTCCTCCTTTATCCGGGCTTGGGACCGGCAGTAACCCCCGGAGGGACTATAGGCGGAGTTGAAATATGAACCATTGGATGTTGATTTAGTGGTTTAAAGGTTAAGGACTTGAGTCCGTAACTAAATACCTTGAGTTCAAACACTGGCATCTAGTCCTGCTTCTTTCTCCCTCTCGATTTGTTTGATGGTCATCCTGATTTTTTCGTTTGCTGGTTGCATGACATATACAGGAAGGTCTGTAGGTGCTGCTTTGATCTCTGATGTGTTCAGTGGGACTGGTTTGTTCAAGAGTTCTTCAAACTGTTCCTCTGTTCTTGAATCTCAGTGATTGAATTGCTTTCTTTGTCCTTGGTCTGGTTTACTATATTTCTCTGACAGTTTCTTCGTCGTGTCATATTGTTGTTTCATAATTCCTTCTCTTGAAGCTTTTCCCTCTGTCGTTGCTAGCTTGTCGGCTCTAATGCTCCTCTTCCCTTGCTTGTTTGCTTCAGTGTGTTCAGCTTGTGCCTTGACATCTCCTGTTCTTGTGTGACTGTTGTTAATTGCTGTCTTCTGGCTCTTCTTTTCTTGAATCCTACCCAATGTTTCGATATAGATCCACTCGTTACGATGATGCTTCTTGGAGCTCAGAACCTCCTGATACGTTGAGGTTAGTGCTTATTTGATCCCTTTCCAGTTGTCCTCCATAGTAGTTTCTTATTCTGTGAGTAGATCTTGTAAGGCTTGGAACTTGTTGTTGAGAGTTATCTTGAACTCGTTGAGTTTGTCAATATGTCGAAGGAATGCTATACTGAATCATTGTGATGCTGTTTCTTCAGTTTTCCAATGCTTCTTTAGCTTCATTTTTATTTTAACCACAGCCAGGTGTTGATTTGGATCTATGTCAGCTCCTCTTCAGGTTCTCACATTTTCCATTGACCGTGTGAATTTTTTACTGATGAAAATATAATGTGTCTGATTTTCCGTAATGTGTTTCGGTGAGACTCATGCAGCTTTGTGTAAGCGTTTGTGTGGGAATATTGTGCCACCTATAACGATTTTGTTTAATGCACATCAACTTCCGAATCTCTCACCATTCTCGTTCCTTTCTTCCAGTCAGTCCATATCACCCCCTAATATCTTCATACCCGATGTTGTCCATTCCAATTTTGACGTCTAGGTCGTCCACCAAGATTGTGAGGTTCTTTCGTGAGCACTTCGACATGATTGATTGCAGTCTCTCATAAAACTGATCTTTATCGTCGTCATTGCTATCATTCATTGTGATTCCATCCGACTTTGTTTCGAAGGATGCTTTGATGATCATGGATCCATTAGATTCCCATACTGTAAGTGTTTCATGTGCTTCTTTGGATAGCATCAGAGCAACCCCCTGAGTGTGTAAAGCATTTTGTTCTTCGTAACCAGAGTACAACAACATTTCTCCCGAATCTATCTTTTTCTGTCCAATGGGTTCCACTGTTTTCCACTGTTTTTGCAGCTATTTGATTGGTCTTCTCGTTCTTTCACATTGTTCGAACATTCTATGTGTCTATATTAATTATTGTTTTGGTTGTTAGAAGGGGTATCACCATGAGATGTCGTAATTCTTCTGAATGACGATCATTCAACTCGGAGAGCAGAGTTTAAATGGTTGATTGCTTTCGTATTTCTCCAAGTTTCCACCCTTCTCTAATGTATAGGAGGAAAATTTAAACATCGATCCGTAATGGATATCATCTTGAACTGTTTTGTATTTTCATTTATAAATCTCGTTAGTTATCCATTTTCAGTTGATGCTTTTCATAAATACGTTAATAAGTCTTTCATGACAGCATGACAGAGAGAGTAACATTTTTTGAATTACACGTCGAAACACTGACCTAAGAATCAATGCACCAATCTAGTCCTCCGCTATATCAACTGAGCTATCGACGGACTTGAACCGTATCCTGTCATTCTGTACTTCATTATTCATCATCATGATTAAACTAAACTCTCGTTATTTATATAGTTTATACCATGGACTAATCGTAGTTAAGTTTCGAGATGTAATTCCAGGAATTCTATTGAGATGCCATTTATATCTAGTGTGAAACAGTCATTCACTGAAGCTAACTAAACATGATCCCGAAATGTCTTCAATTGATTCAAGTTTGATATGTACACTATTAGATATTGGCTTGATTGTTTTGTGGTTATGTTCTAGCTGCGAAATCGAAGATTCGGAGTTCGATTCTCAGTGAGGTCGTGAATGTGAACTATTGGGGTTCTAATAGTAGGATGGAACAATGCTTCCTAGTTCTTAATAACTATCTAATTAAAATCAGTTTGTAATGTAAGCTTTGAGAATTTAATCATCTCAAAACTTCAGTATATATATGTAATTGAATGCATTCCATCTTTTGTCTACGTTATAGAATGAAACGCATTATTCAGCTTATCATACAACAGAACCATCAAAGATGGAAATGTTTAGGATATTTTTGGTAAGTTAGAATGTAGATTATTACTTTATTACATTGTGTAGTGAGTGAGCGAACACCGGGTAGAGTCAGGTATCTACCTCAGTACAATGGAAGATGGTCGCGCGATTTCGTGGGTTGGTTGAGGTTAGACATTAACACCACCGGACGCCGCCCGTCTCAGTGGTGTAGTAGGTTGGGCGTTCGCGCGCAAGACTGAAGGCCCTGGGTCCAAATCCCACGAGAGGGATCTCGGATGAGCAATGCTGAGGAGTCCCACACTAGGACGAAATGGCCGTCCAGTGCTTCCAGATTTTCAATAGTGGTCTCAATCAATAACTTAATAAACTCCACAGCCCTATACTAACAAAAAACACGAAAGTTAAGTAAACACATTATAGTTACATGGTGTTTGGAGGTAGTCAACAGGAAACCCGGGACCCGGGTTTCGTGCTACTTGGCACTCGTCAGCAAGGTTTACCTGTAATCTTGAGGGAACTGGTGCTCCCTGGCGGATCCGGTCCCGTGTTACCCAGCTTCACAGTCGGAGACGTTACCACTGAGCTATCCGGGCCGCGACTGACCTCCTGTAGGACAGCATTTTCAACCTCCAACCACCATCTAATCTCAATATATAGTGCACGCAGTGTCGAGTCACCTAGACTGGTGACCACATTGCAACATGGTCGATAGCATTCGATCTGCACTAAATAAGGACTTGACACACATGACATTGATCACCACCCAGTGATCAATCAATTGTGGCATTATGGTTACTGACTATATTTTAAGATAGTAGTAAATAGCTGATTAGAAATCAGCATCTCCTCATACTAAGGACCTGTCAACTGGATAAAACTGTGAAATTCAATAGTGATGTTCCTTCAGAGAGTCAAAATTATATTACTTCAAATGACAGAAGTTTATCCATTAGTTTACTACTGAATTACTAATTTGCTCGGCATTCAAGGTATAGTGGTTGAATAATTCAACCTTCAACCATTCAGTCATCAACTTGAACCTAGGTCCTCTTGAATCAGTTTAGCCAATCAAGTAGTTAGTGTGAGAAATTAGTGGAAATTGTTTATTTGCTTACATTATGGATTGAATTCAGTCGAGCAACCACTGAAAATCAGAAAGCACTAGTTAGTTGTTTCTTTCAATTTTAAGATTCAAACTATACAATTCAATAAGCCCTACAAACCTCCTACATTAGTAATTAGTAATTATGCCCTCACTAATGACTAATTTCAAGATGTGATTCTCTTGGCTCTGTGAGAGACTCTATATTCAATGAAGTTCAACTATATCTGGTTTGAGGCAATTACTCAACTATATCGTTGGAATATAGTTACATAATGTCATAGGTTGATTGAAGTTAGACACAATAATCATTGGTAACCGACTTATAGGTCGAAATTTTAAACACTCATTACGGGACTTAAAAGTACTGGGTTCGATCACTGATGTGGTTGTGCGTCTGCATTGTCACTCATGAGTCCTATACAAGGGTGAAACAGGTGTACTGTTTATTATTTATTTACTTGAACACATAAACATTGGTACACGGGGGGTACTAAATACATACACGCGACACAATAACAATGAGGCCAGTAGTAGTTATAGTTCATTTTTATAAGGGTTGAGATACTGCCCGGGTGTCCAAACCGAAGCAGGTGGTTTTCATAGGAGGCCACACCTGGAGCCTTTGACCTAAAGGTCTAATTCATAAGGCAGTGAAGCAACGTGAGGAAATGTGATCCCGTGGTAGTCGGTGACCAACAATAGGTTCATACACTTTGGATTCCCTCAAGATCCTGAAGCCCATGTTGATCATTGATTTGGAATCAGGGTTTTTCAATCCCCCATGGGTAGACCCTCCGTGTACAATGTTTACTGGTTTTATGTGCTTATATAAGGAATCTACTTATATCTTCAGCCCTTACAATAACTATATGAGGAAATGTTGGGTAAAAAGTCTGTGCTTTGTGGACGAATCAGTGGCGGAATATCCCTTACAACTGATTCTAATATTACTGTTCATCTTAATTTTATTCTTCTTTCCATTGTTGAATGGGCTTTTCTGTTTTATTCTTTTATACATTTCAGAACTGTTGCTAAAATGAATCAATGTACCAGTAATGGAAATTTATAAACGACTGCTTTTTACTGCAACCTTATGAGAAATGTATTGAATTTACTAATGTCTTCTTATTTAATAAAATACTTAAACTATTTATGTGTGTTTAATGTATTGTGAATACAGCTCAATCCTACAGAAGCTCAGTCGCCGCCTGGATAGCCTAGTGGTAATGTCTCTAACTGTGAAGCTGGGTAACATGGGACTGAATCCGTCAGAGAGCATCAGTCCTCTCAAGATCACAGGTAAACCTTGCTGACGAGTACCAAATAGCACAAAGCCTAGGTCCAGGATTTCCTGTTGACTACCTCCAACCATCATCTTATCTCAACATAGTGCACGCAATGTCGAGTCACCTGTACTGGTGGCCACAGTGCAACTCGGTCGATAGGATTCGATCTGTACTAAGAAGGACCTGACATATATGAAATTGATCACCATCCAGAGATCAATCAATGGTGAACGTATCGGTTTAATGTTCATTTTTCAGATTAAAGATTTATGATGGTCAGCTCAAAGTGAAGTTTATTCTTGTCATTGATGAATATTAGTTGACGGGCCATTGAAAACTAAAAGGAGTACTATATAGCAGTTTCGTAGTAGTTTGAGACTGCTCGGTAGTAGATACCTATGTCCTTGATATGGAATAAACCTAAGATAATTCGGTCTCGGGATAAGTCTTTAACCCTTACATCACTGAGATGATATCTAGTGTTTTACATTTCTAACTTTAATTGATTTGTGATCTAGCGTGACAGTAATTCACTATCATTAATTGGTGATCACCATCTGACTTCACTAAATCAAAACTCTTCACTGGAACTTTGAGAACTCACTCTGAAGCAAGGTATCAATGAGGATACTATAATATATGATTATCGAGATATTTTGTTGTAGTTAGTTTGATTAATGGGTGGTATTTATCCAGCATTGAAAATCAGAAAAAGCCAGGTAGCATATTAATTCTAACATGGGAAACCTCAGCAGTGCTCATTCAGGACCGTATAACAAAACCTTTACATATTTGGGCAGAATCATTGATGAACACAGTGGATCTGATGCAGATGTTAAGGTGCGGATCGGCAAAGCAAGAGTAGCATATATACAACTGAAGAATATTGTGAACTCAAAACAACTGTCTGTCAAACAACACCAAAGTCAGAAGTTTCAATACAAATGTCAAGACAGTTCTACTGTATGGGTCGGAAACATAGAGAACTACGAAAGCCATCATTCACAACATACAAGTGTTTATTCACAGTTGTCGATGCAAAATATTTCGGATCCGTTGGCCAGACACTACACTATTGGCAACAACCTACTGTGAGAGAGAACAAACCACATTCCAGTGGAAGAAGAAATCAGGAAGAGGTGCTGGAAGTGGATAGGACACACATCGAGGAATGCACACAACTGCGTTACAAGGCAAGTTCTCATCACTTGTAATCCTCAAGGCCAGAGGAGAAGAGGCAAACCAAAGAACACATTCCACCGAGAAAAAGAGGCAGATATGAGAAGAATGAACGACAATTGGATAGAACTAGAAAGGAAGGCTGTAGACAGTATGAGTTGGAGAATGCTGGTCGGCGGTCTATGCTCGATTGTGATTAACAGGCGCAAGTAGGTAAGTATCAAAGATGAATTTCTGGAATTCTAGGTAGATATCATACCTGGTAAGGCTAAAACATATCGAAAATGAAATTGTTATTATCAATAGTATTGGAAAATTATCATGCAGATCGTTCAGTTCTATGGTTGAATTTCACAGTTCGTGTTTACCAGACTACAAGGTCATAGGTTGAATCTCATCTAAGCTCATGTATTCCCAATCTTAAGAAGTTCCAAATGAAAAGGAAACAACTATTCACTGTATGTTGATTTTTCAAAATGATGATCTAAAGTGTATCAACTTGTGCTGGTGTTAACTCTCATACTGTTAATGACTAACAACCATCAAACAAATCGAAAATATAGAAAGTTATTATATTGATCATTTCTGATTACATTTGGGTGAATTTCTATCAGAAGTTGGCTTTTGACAATACTACGTTTGTTGCTGGATCAATTCACGAAACACTATGAGGAAAGTTATTCTAGACTCAACTTGATATGTTAGATAGTTGAATGTATCGAGTTAAAACCCTGAAGATTAGTTTTGTAACGGTTAGCCCTTGTCGGAAAGGGTTACTCTCAGTTTCGAGAAAACTAATATTCTCTATTAGATTTAAATACTTATTGAAGTGTTATGACCTGAAACACTAACACTAAGCTATTCAAAAACTCTACATTCAATGAGTGCTCAAGATTGTATATCATATCATAATAAGCTTTCTTGACCAAAACATTCATTTCACTTAGATCTCATGATGTCAAGTAGATTAGCTGAAGAGTGATAAGACAAAAAGCTGAAAATTGAAAGTCAAAAGGAAATATACACCTAAATGAACAAGAATGTGTCAACCATTAAACATTACCTTTATCTATACTGTATTCCCACAAATTGAGGAGAAGGCTAGTAAATTTGAACTCACCTCATCCTTCCCTATGAATTCCTATCTTTGATGGTAGAACTTGAAAATTAAGAATCTAACATATATAAAACTACTTATAGAAAGTTTGTGAATGACGGATATCAAGCAGTTATCCTTTGGGTGCTATGATCAAAGTCTCAAGTTACCAAGTATTATGTCCCGATAAGCATGGACCAATACTAAACGTATATTTTTATCATATAATCGTTATGCAACTAAACTATTCATATTCATGTCCCGCTTATTATGAGCGTTATTTTGACCTATGAATCATTATTATACGATTTACCATTCTTGAATTATCCCCTGTCTATTAAGTACTACCTCCCTCACTCATAGCCACATTTAGCTAGATCTTGTACAAATGTTATTTTCTATTTTATGGTACGATGTAGTCTGTCTGGTTGGTATATAAACCCAGTATGTTTGAACTATAAGGATTCATATTGCAGAGGCTGAGATCGGTGTACTGGACTTAACTGGTTTGGGCTAGGCGGAAAGCAGGATCAATCAGGACTCTAGACTACTCGCACAGGTTTTATGACTTCATTGGTCCGATCGATAATTCACTGCACTCTGATTGGCGGTATTGTTGCGTTATACAATAAATAGGGTACATAGGTTCACAAGTTATAACACTAAGACTGTTGTTCATTCAAATTTTTGAGATATCTCCATAATGATCTTGTTAGTTGCTGGTTGTAATATCATACATTCGAAAGAAAGGAAGTCACCCAAATAAGTAATATTATTGTTTATCTATAAACTCCTTATTCATACAAAATTACTAATGAAGAAATTTACATTATATATATGTATATGCATGTATTTGAATATGTGCAAATCAAAATAAGTAATTCAGTAGTATATATATAAAAAAGTGAGAAAAAAAGAGAAAGAATAAAAGAATGATAACAATGAAATGAACAATACTGAGAAATCATTTCAAACACTTTCTATATTGATCTATAATATGATTATGTAACTGATCAGTCAATCATCAATCAGTTACCATCTAGGATCAGGGTATTAATTCAAGTTGTTATATCTCATGAGTACAACGAGATGAACACCAGATTCATATATATATATATATATATATATATATATATATATATATATATTATATATATATATATATATATATATATATATATATATATATATATATATGTCAGTGGGATAGAAGGCTTCATCAAGAAGAGGTAAAGAAAAGAAGATATCAAAGATGATATCATTTCTTTGTTTTAATAATTGAATTTCTATGAATCAATTAAAGTTAGATTAGCATAGAAAACCTGATAATATTGGATGACCATTTCATCCTGTTGACAAGTTCCCTACTAGAACGAAACAACCATCTAATACGTTCATGTTTTTTTAATGATGATCTAACTTTAATTGACTTATAAAATTTCAACCCCCCCCCACCCTTTCTCTGATTATTTCCTATTTTGTTTTGTTTCCAAGAGAGATAAAGAGAGAGAGAGAGGGGAGGAGAAAAAAAGAAAAGATTAAAACAAATGCATCATCATCACCATCATAACATATTGATTAGTTAGAATGAGTACAATGTGAAAGAACTACCACAGCAACAACAGCAACAACAACAACAACAAAATGCAAATCAAAAGCATAAATCATATTCTATTCCTTTTAATGATTTAAATCAATTAATCAATATATGAAAATGATAAATCTTATCCTCATAAGGCATATTGAAAATCATCACGGATCATTCAATGTATGTAATGAATATATAAGTAGTACAATGAGTAGTATATAAATATATATTGAATAAAAGAGTAGTTCAGTAGTAAAAACACCACATTATCGGTTAGAATATCATTTCCCGCTAAAAACAAAACAAACCGCGGAAAATATGAAAAAAAAGAGAAGAAAGGAAACAAGAGATAATATAACTATCTGAATTGTTATTGTTACTAAGTATTCACATACAAAAAAAGAAAGAAAGAAGGGAAACAAGAATCGTATAAGAATTTGAAGTAGTAGTAGTAGCAGGAGGAGGAGGAGGAGAATGAGGAGGTGGTGGTCGTGGTCGTGGTGGAGAAGGAGAAGAAGAAGAAGAAGAAGAAGAAGAAGAAGAAGAAGAAGGAGGAGGAGGAGGAGGAGGGGAAAAAGTTAGCTTTACTGATTTGATTGATGACCTATATATATGTACAATGAAGTAAAAGGAAAAATTGAATGATATTTCAATGAGTAGGAAAATGTTTTAAATTAGAAAACTGTTGTGATAATGAATTAGTTGAAAGTGGTGTTGTTCTCAATTGAGATGTATTCAATATCATAGGTTGTTGTTTAATTTGTGGATAATAATGATGATCATGTTGATGATGCAGTGGATATTGTTGATGTTGATGTTGAGGAATAGGAGGGATATGAGATGTCGGTATTGATGATAAATTACGATTACAATCAATTATTGAAGGTATATTCAATGAATCTGTTGATGTTGTTATTACAGGTTGTTGTTGTTGTTGTTGTAAAGCACTTTGCATAGGATAAATGGGATGAATTTGAGAATTTATATTTACATTATTCATATCATTTAATATAATAGATGCTTTTGATATTTCATTGATATTATGATGTTCTATCATACATCCTTTGAATGTATTACTTAAATAATTATTATGAGTAGTAGTTGTACTACTACAACTAGTAGTAGTAGTAGTATTAGTAGTATTAATAGTAGTATGACATGATGTAGAACATGTGGATGAAGGAATAGAATGCATAGAATTTAATTGATCTTCTAATTTTTTAATACGTGTTGTATATTTATGTTTTATTTTATCAAATGCTTTAATTAATGCACTATTAGCACGTTTTAAATCATTCACTAATTCTTCACTTTGTATTTGTTGTATTTCTGTACTACTACGTAATGCTTCAAGAGCTTGTAATAAATTCTATAAATGAGAAGAAACAAGAAAAAAAAAGAAAGAAAACAAACAACATACACAAAGGGGGAGAATCAAGATCATGAAATACAACCCAAGGGTGATGGTGAAGATTTATAGCTCAGGTGGATGATTTTGATGGAGTATTGTTCTCTGAGCTGGATGGTTTAGTCGTGGAGCTTTCATCATCAGCACAAACTTCAGACAGAAGTGAAGTGTTCGAATTTCTTTATATGCGTTTCACAGCTTGTTCTGTACACCTCACCGTTGATTGGTTCTTATTGATCTTAAATTTGTCATTGTTTACTCCTTTGTTTTGGTTGTGTTTCCCAATGGTTTGTAGAGAACAAAACTCCATCACAACCCAAGGAACACTAATTCAATCATACTTTATACAGAAACTCTGGAAGTTAGTCAGTCAGTCAGTTAAAACGTAGGATCAAGCACATACATGGATTGGTCCAAGTTGCTATACCTCATTAGTACAGCAAGACGAATATCGGATTCATAGAAGTAGTTGACTCAATGGTGTAATATGTAAAGGAAAGATTTTATGTAGGGATATTGTACAGTATAGTCAAGCGAACCGCAACCAAGTAGTTTGCATCTAACAATATGGCTCAGGCTAGAAGTTGGTGACTTCAAGCAATGATGCTACATTTCGGTTTGTCCATCCCTAACTTTCTTCCAACCATTCCCAACACTAGTCAGCATTGCGCGTCGTGGTAATCAGTGTTCAAGCATACGTAACATGTAGCCGAATCATCTCAGTTGATGAACATTCACAACTTCATCAACTGATTTACCATCATTCCCTAATACCTTGCGTCTAAACTCTGGAAGAGGTGAAAACTTTCAAGTACCTGAGTAGCATCATCGATAAACAAGGAGGATCTCATGTAGATGTAAAGGCAAGGATTGCCAAAGCAAAAGGAACATTCCTACAGTTAAATAACATATGGAACTCAAAACACAACTCTCAACCAATATCAAATTCATAATCTTCAATACAAACCTCAAAATGGTTAATTCTACTGTACGGAGCTGAATCTTAGAGAACTACCACAATCATCATCAAAATAGTACAAGTAATTATAAACAATTCTCTACTCAAAATACTCAATGTCTGTTGATCGGATACCATCAGCAATAGACTACGGTGGGAGAGAATAAACCAGCTTTGAGCTGAAGAAGAAATTAGGAAAAGACATTAGAAGTGGATAGGACATACATTATGGAAATCATCAAACTGCACCACGACTCAAGCGCTTGCCTGAAATCCTGGAAGGGAACAGAAAGGAGGAAGACCGAGAAGCATAATAGGTTGGGAATAGAAAGCAGATATCAAGAGAATGTGTAACAACTGGAAAGATCACGTTAATTTGCATCCAATATAATTATGATAAACCAAGTAGATGAACGTTTATTCTATATATTGATTTTTATTGAAATCGATAATCGATCAATATAAAAATACCGCAGAAAACATAGAAATATTGAATTGTCGTTTCGTCTTAGTATAGAACTCTTCAACAGTGTGCATCCATCATGTGTTCACAAGTGACTAGGTTCGACAAAAATTCTCAAAAATGTATTTAGAGGCCATCACTAGTAGGGATAAACAATGTCCAGAGTGAGGTAGTTGCCCAATGACGACAATAGAAGATGATCACGCGACATTGTTGATTGGTTAAAGTTAAATATAAACACTGTTGCATCCCGGCTCAGTGGTCTGGAGATTAGGTATTCGCATGCAAAACTCAAGGTGTTGATTTCAATTTCCATGTGCGGTATGGTGGATGTTCACTGCTTCTGATGATCGACTGAATTATGAAGGCGTCAACATCTGCGGGGAAGCATAGGATACAGTGGACGGCTAGCATGCAGCTAGCCGACCTATACTTCGCAGATGATCCGGTTCTTCTAGTGCACACGCAACAACAAATGTAGGAAAACACGACCAGTGTAGCAGCAGTAGGTCTCAACATGCACAAAGGAAAAAGCAAGATCCTCCGATACAACACAACATACACCAATCAAATCACACTTGACGGAGAAGGTTTGAAAGATGTAAAATCCTTTACGTATCTGGGGAGCATCATTGATGAACACAGTGGATCTGATACAGATGTTAAGCTGCGGATCGGTAAAGCAAGAGTAGCATATATACAATTGAAGAAAACCTGGAAGTCAAAACAACTGTCTGTCAAACAACACCAAAGTCAGAAGTTTCAATACAAATGTCAAGACAGTTCTACTGTATGGGGCGGAAACATAGAGAACTACGAAAGCCATCATCCACAACATACAAGTGTTCTTTGACAGTTGTCTCCGTTGACCAGACACTAAACTACTGTGAGAGAGTACAAACCACATTCCAGTGGTGGGAGAAATCAGGAAGAGGTGCTGGAAATGGATGTGACACACATTGAGGAAAGCACCGAACTGCGTCACAAAGCAAGCTCTCATCATCTGAAACCCTCAAGGCCAAAGGAGAAGAGGAAAATCAAAGAACACATTCCACCGAGAAAAAGAGACAGATATAAGAAGGATGAACAATAATTGGATAGAACTAGAAAGGAAGGCTACGGACAGAGTGGATTTGAGTATGCTGAGCAGCGGCCTATACTCCCTCGGGGTAAAAAAAACGTAAGTAAGTTACTTCTGAGGAGTCTTGTACTAATACGAAATGTCTATCCAATGTTTTCAGGTTTTCAATAATTCTCTAACATTGATCATTACATAATTTCAATAAAATTTAATAATCATAATTGAATGTAAATTATTAATTCAGTATATATATAGTTTACCTTGACTTGACCTCTTAATAAAACTATTTCATTTTGATTAATATTCTGTATAGATTGATTGGTTAATGTTGTTGTTATTCCTGTTCCTGTTGTTGTTGCTGTTGTCGTCGTCGTCGTCGACGTCGCCATTGTTGTCGTTTGTGATAATTTTAACTTATTATCATTTAATATTGAATACTGATTATTTTGTTCAATAATTAATGCATCAAGATGAGCACGTAATGCACGTTCAGCAACAGTACGACTATCTAATGTTAAACGATTAGCACGTAATTCTTTTTCAAGTAAATATACACGAATTTTAAGATCAGCACATTCTTCTTTAATACAACATAATTCCTAAATAAATCAACAAATTAATCAATATTATTTCATTATAAAATGAAAACAATTTTAA